GCCTGACCAATCTAATTATCTTCTATGATGAGGTAACTGGCTCTGTAGACATGGGAAAGTCAGTGGAAGTGATATACCTTGACGTTAGCAAGGCTTTTGATACGGTCTCCCACAATATTCTTGCCAGCAAGTTAAGGGAATGTGGATTGGATAAATGGACAGTAAGATGGCTAGAAAGATGGCTAGAAGGCCAGGACCAGCGGGTAGTGATCAACAGCTCGATGTGGGACTCATGAGCATAAGTTGCGATCTCATTAGCAACTTCATGTGATCTTAATAGGGGACCTGACTACTTACCCAAATCAATCCATGGATTCTTCCCAAGACACTCCTCTGGTAGCCTCAGGCAGCAGCACGGAAGACAGTATGGATGAGGGAAAAGAGGAGGAGGAGAGTGGTCGGCAGGTGAGTGGGGCAACTGATGTTACAACAGCCAGAACCTCTTTATAACTTTGGAGAGGATCCCCTACTTCCAGGATGTCTCACATTTGAACATTGAGCCTGGGGAGGACACTTCTGGTGAGTTCATAGTTTTTATTATGCTGCAAGTAGATTAAGGCAATTAGGTGTGATCTGTGATGGCTCCAGCACCTAAACTGCAGGGGCTCCCCAAAATAGCTTAAAATGTCTGGAGACGGAGTTGGAATCATCCCTTCACATCTCTGTAAAGCTCTCATAAACAAACTCTTTCATCCTTCTCACAAGGTTTATTGGGAGGCCTGCTGTATTCTGTCCTCTGAAGTAGGACACCTTTCCACACTAAGCCAGCAGTGTGTGGTCTGGTGTCATTGCAACACAAAGCATTGCAGCATAAGGCCAGGTTTCTGGCCACATTCAGTCAGAATCTGCTCCTTATCACACTGTGTGATTCAGAGAAGACTGATATCGTGCATGGCAAACTGCAGTAAACCTCTATTTGCTCATCCCCAATGAAGCAGCTAATGAGCTCTTGCCCTGCCACTTACACCCTCTACCTCTGCCCCTGCATGCATCCTCCTGCGGGAAGGGAAAATTGCACTCTCCCAGCAAATGGAGGGTGCTGAATGCACAGACACTGCATGAGCTCCTGCCACCACACCTGGATCCCTTCCTCATTCCATCCCACATGCTCCTGTGGGACTGAAAATTTGCACTCTCACAGCAAACTAGGGGTGCCAAACACATGGGCAGAGTATGAGCCCCTGCCCTGCCTTGTCGTGCCACCAAGTCTGACCCCCCTCCCTCTTTCTGCCTGCATGCTTCTATGAGAAGGTAAAGTTGCACTCTCTTGGAAAAGTGGTAGAAATGTAGCCGTGTTAGTCTGGTGCAGCTGAAACAAAAAACAGGACTGTGTAGCACTTTAAAGACTAACAAGATGGTTTAATAGGTGATGAGCTTTCGTGGGTCAGACCCACTTCCTTAGATCAAATAGTGGAAGAAAATTGTCACAACCATATATACCAAAGGATGCAATTAAAAAAAAAATGAACACATGAAAAGGACAAATCAAATTTCAAAACAGAAGGGGGATGGAGGGGTTCCTTAATTTCTTGGATAGTGTGAGGTAGAGTCTTTCACTGTAGTCAGTATAGTATGTTGATCTTAATGGATTGTTCACTTTCAGTCCTTTGGGTACGATGTCCATCTTCTTGCACTTGGATAGAAAGATGATGTCTGTCTGTATCTGTGCAAGTTTCTTCATATGGTTGATGGATTTCCATTCCAAACGGCTAAATGTAGTGCCTTGCATGTAGAATAGTGGTAGAAATGTAGCTGTGTTAGTCTGGTGCAGCTGAAACAAAAATTTGACCTGAGGAAGTGGGTCTGGCCCATGAAAGCTCATCACCTATTAAACCATCTTGTTAGTCTTTAAAGTGCTACACAGTCCTGTTTTTTGTTTCAGCTGCACCAGACTAACACGGCTACATTTCGGAAAACACGTAGTGCTGAACACACAGGCACCGTGTGAGCCCCAGCTCTACTTTACCTTGCTGCCACTCCTGGACCTCCTCCCTCCACCCTTCTCCTTCCTCCCACCCACATGCTCTTGAGGGAAGGGGAAGTTGCATTCTCCCAGCAAATGGGGTGCTGAACACACAGGCACCACATGGGCATGTCTGGTCCCTTCTTCCCCCTGCAGGCTTGAGCCCCAGCCTGTCTCTTGCCATACCTGCTATCTTAATAAATTCAACCTTATTTCATAGCGTAGACATGGCCTTAGTTTATTTTCTTCGACAAAAGAAGGGCTGGATGATAAATCATTTGAGAGCACTTGCATTACTATTACTTTTTCAGGTCGATGAGTCATGGATATACATATTAAAGACCTTTACATTAATGCCTGTTTTCTGAATTTAGCTGCACAGGGTGTAGAGCATCATCAGGAGAGGGGACAGACAAAAATCAGTATTGTATAATTTATGCAACAGCAGAAAAGAAAAATGCTCTGACATTATACAAATAAATTCCTGTTTATATAGTATTGCAATAAAAGAACAAGTGACATTCACAAATGAGTATGAAATAACTAATCAATATTAGTTAATGGGCAGCTAACTAGTAACCCACATCCTTAGGGAGCACAGTTTTATTTAATCTCTCTCCATTGACTATTTAAAAAAATTAGAGTTGAAAATATTTATAATATTCCAAAAATGATCCTATATAATGAGTTAGACTGTTTTCAATATATATGGTTACGTCTACACTGCCCATTTTTGCGGCAGAAAATATGCTAATGAGGGTCTCATTAGCATAAGTTGCGATCTCATTAGCATATTAGCAAAAACTCCTTGCGCAAAAAGAAATGGCAGGAAACATGCTAACAAGATTGCAACATATGCTAATGAGGGACTCATTAGCATATTTCCTGCTACAAAAATTGGCAGTGTAAACATAGCCTATAGGATCATTATATGATTCTATACAATATAACCAGGGCTCAACAAATAATGCAATCTACTCACCCGTGGCGAGTAGATTGCAACCCGGAGAGCCGGGTTCCGGCAATCTGCACATGAGCAGATTACCAGACAGTGCAGCTGGCAAGCGGGGCTCGCCGCAGTTCGGCGAGCCCTGAATATAACCCTAAGTTTGTGTGCAAAAATATATGCCAATCATTCAAATAAACAAGAAGCTACACTTCCCTCACTCCCATCTCCCATCCCTTCCTCACAGAACTTATCTGGAAGCCATGCTGCTATTACATTTCCCTGCTATAGTTGTAGATGACCACCTTGGGGAGGAATAGATGCCACAAAAGGAAAGTAGGAAGCATCATTAACATTTCCATCTAGAAATCTCTTGGGTTTGTGTATCATATATGCAGTGCAGATGCTCCCTGCACACCCTCAAATCAGCCTATGCCTCCAGAAATCCCCCACCTAACAGTAGACATGCAGATGGGTTTCTGACATCCAGGAGTAAATACTGCTTCTTTATACTCTTCTCAGAGCTGTCCTTTTTGCCTTCATTTGCTCACCTCTGCACTGCTGGTAACAGAGGATTTGATGCTCTAAAACTATTGTTATCCTGATTTTGGAGGCAGAAATTCTTTTCCATATTAGGCATGCATTCAGAAGACAAGGCTACTGTTTTGGAATGGGGGCAACATAATTGTGGAGACTTCTAATTAGAGTTTCAATTTTAGAAGTTTGCTTTAGAGCTCAGGTTTAAAATGATGTTTTGATATTTAGGAGCTTAGAAACTGACTTTACCATTGATAAACTATTTTATAGAATCATAGAATCATAGGACTGGAAGGGACCTCAAGAGGTCATCGAGTCCAGCCCCCTGCCCTCAAGGCAGGACCAAGCTCCGTCTACACCATCCCTGACAGATGTCTATCTAACCTGTTCTTAAATATCTCCAGAGAGGGAGATTCCACCACCTCCCTTGGCAATTTATTCCAATATTTGACCACCCTGACAGTTAGGAATGTTTTCCTAATGTCCAATCTAAACCTCCCCTGCTGCACTTTAAGCCCATTACTCCATGTCCTGTCCTCAGAAACCAAGAGGAACAAATTTTCGCCTTCCTCCTTGTGACACCCTTTTAGATATTTGAAAACCACTATCATGTCCCCCCTTAATCTTCTTTTTTCCAAACTAAACAAGCCCAGTTCATGAAGCCTGGCTTCATAGGCTTCTCTAGACCTTTAATCATTCTTGTCACTCTTCTCTGTACCCTTTCCAATTTCTCCACATCTTTCTTGAAATGTGGCGCCCAGAACTGGACACAGTACTCCAGCTGAGGCCTAACTAGTGCAGAATAGAGCGGCAGAATGACTTCACGAGTTTTGCTTACAACACACCTGTTGATACAACCTAGAATCATATTTGCTTTTTTGGCAACAGCATCACACTGTTGACTCATATTCAACTTGTGGTCCACTATGACCCCTAGATCCCTTTCCGCCATGCTCCTTCCTAGACAGTCGCTTCCCATCTTGTATGTATGGAACTGATTGTTCCTTCCTAAGTGGAGCACTCTGCATTTCTCCTTATTAAACCTCATCCTGTTTACCTCCGACCATTTCTCTAACTTGCTAAGGTCATTTTGAATTATGTCCCTATCCTCCAAAGAAGTTGCAACCCCACCCAGTTTGGTATCATCTGCAAACTTAATAAGAGTACTCTCTATCCCAATATCTACATCATTGATGAAGATATTGAACAGTACGGGTCCCAAAACAGACCCTTGAGGAACTCCACTTGTTATCCCTTTCCAGCAGGATTTAGAACCGTTAACAACAACTCTCTGACTACGGTTATCCAGCCAATTATGCACCCACCTTATCGTGGCCCTATCTAAGTTATATTTGCCTAGTTTATCAATAAGAATATCATGCGAGACCGTATCAAATGCCTTACTAAAGTCTAGGTATATGACATCCACCGCTTCTCCCTTATCCACAAGGCTCGTTATCTTATCAAAGAAAGCTATCAGATTAGTTTGGCATGACTTGTTCTTCACAAACCCATGCTGGCTATTCCCTATCACTCACTTCATTACTTCTTCAGGAACTGCCTGACTTAGAAGACATAGATATTAGTGAATTCTCACCAGGAGAGGAAAACTCAATCAGAAAGGTAAGCTTGTTATTAATTATTCTTATATGTTGGTGCTCTTTTATTCCTGTTTACCAAAGCATAAAAATATGTTATGATAGGTTAAACCAGATGGTTACCAGAGAGTACTCAAAGAGAGGTATGTTAGCCCTAGATGAAGTAGGTTTCTGTTCCCTGGGTAAACTGGAATGGGCTGGCCTAGAACTACCGGGAACTTTTCAGAATCAGTCTGGCCAGATGGAACACCTGGAGCCAATTAGAAGCCTTCCAGAACCAGTGGAGTCAAGTTAATCAGAACAGCTGGGGTCAATCAAGAATCAGTTGAAACTGGTTTAAAAGGGCTCCTTTTCTTTTAGTTCAGGGGTGCGTGAGATGGAGGAAAGGAGCTAAAGATTTGAGAGTGAGACGTGTCTTAGTGAGAGCTGGGAACTGCAAATAAGGTAGAGTTCTGTGGATAGGCTGCTCAAGTACCAGGAAAGGTACCGGGAGGGATCGTTTGGGGAAGAGGCCCAGAGAAGTAGTTGCCAAACTAGGAGTAGAACAAACCTGTCTGTTATTACTGCCCCCGGGTCCCTGGGCCAGAACTTGGAGTAGTGGGTGGGCCCGGTTCCCCCAACCCTCCCATCCCACTTCCCATGCCACAACAGAGTCTGTCTCTGGATAGGGAGACCAGGACTTTAAAGAAGTTTCACTCCATACTTTGGACTAGCATATGATGAGTATGGCTCAGTAGACTGTGACCTTTGCCTCTAAAAAACAAAAAAAAGAAGAGGCTGTGTGGAGGGTCACAGCAAGCCTCTGAGGCTGAACACTGTCCACCAGAAGCACAGGACCCACAGGTGTCGCCAGAACTCTGCCACAGTATTCAATAAACTACAAATTATGCATTGCTGGTTGAGAGATGGAATCGTTTTTTAATTTATAAAAGTGTAGTGGGCAGAATTTACTGGCACATTCTCTATATGTTAAAATAATGAGTTGCATGTTAGCTTTCATTTTGAATTGCCACATAATCACACTGTGACCCCCAAAAAGTACTGTGAAATCTAAATAAAATGGTCCTCTTAAGAGTATATTTTACTTTTAAAAAAAGAAAAATAAAATACTGATATAAATTTACTGTAATGAATCAAAATGATTAACAAGCTTCCCTCTACTAAATAAAATAAGAATTGCTTAATTGGGTTTCATAGGTCCAATGCTGCTAACAGCCCTAAGATATAGTCTTATTCTGCTCTGCTGTAGGAGCCTGCAGTTAGTTTTAAACCTGTTTTTGCCAATGAGATTCAAAATAAGCAAATGTGAAGCACAGTGGTGACTATGAATGTCGATTGTTACAGAATTACATTTAAATGATACAAAGTGGTATTTTTCTGAAGTGGTATTATGCAGAAACTATTAGTACTAGCCTTATTGGATAAATTATATAATCCAGTTGTATAACTGGATACATTAAAATTGGAAAGCTACCTAAGAAAATATTTCTCATCGCTAGTCACCTCCCAGTATATGTGTACCTAGCATATGGCAAAAATAGAAGCACTTTCAGAAATTTTTCCAGAACTTTTAGTCACCCTTTGCATCAGACAGAAGTCTTCTTTATATGAAATCTTAAAGGTCCTTTGATTTACCTGCAACAGAAAAAGCCATGTGATTATTCTTCCCCTCTGGACATGAATCTAGAAAAGTAGAAATAATTTATTTGTTGATGCTTTAGTGCTCAATTAACAATTTTTTCTGATATACTGTATGCAAATACTTGACCAGATCTACTATTTGGTCAACTTGCACTTCACTTTAAACTGTTAGAATAGTGCAATCCTGTGGAAATATTCAGAAAGACTCAGACACATTTATACAGGTAGTCCTGGGGAATAAGACTTATTTACACTGTACTTACTGGGTCTAACAGCTTACAATAAAATAAAATAAAATAAAATAAAATAAAATAAAAGGGGTGGGGGAACTACCATGAAATCAGCCCATTATGTAACTAGACACGTGTGTCATTTACCATCCTGGTATCATCTCCTCCTTCTGTAAACAGAATTGTAGGATTAGGCCCACTCCCCAATTTTCTCTCCTGCAAAGAATAAAGGGCTGGCCAATTTGTATTCAGCCTAAAAGCTCTCCATCCATATAAATCAAAATGGCAGTTATCAGCCCAAACTTATCCCCATTCCTGTAGGTGAGATTAGAATAGGTAAATGGTTCCTTAAGAACATAAGAACAGCCATACTGGGTTAGACCAAAGGTCCATCTGGCTCAGTATCCTGTCTTCTAACGGTGGCCAATGCCAGGTGCCCCAGAGGGAGTGAACAGAACAGGTTATCATCAAGTGATCCCTCTCCTGACATCTATTTCTTGCCCCTGACAAACAGAGGCTAGGGCAGGCCTTGGCAAAATGTGGCCTACGTGCCAGATGCAGCTCACCAAGCCACTGGATCTGGCCCAGGAAGGCAGCGGGGAGCGGCTGCCGGGCTTCCTTTCTGTTTCAAAACTGGAGGAGAGGGGAGAAGTTTCAAGAACCACCCTACCCCCCGCGCAATCCCATTGGCTTGTTTCTAGCTAGAAACTGGCCAATGGGAAGCTGCTTGTTTGAATAACAGGCAGCCAAGCAGAACCATCCTTCTCTCCTCGGCTCAGTTATTCACTGAAGCACATGGTCAGGCAAACAGGCAGGCTGGCTGTCTGGGAAACATTTTAAGCTCTGCAAGCCTTAGCTCTGCAGACAAGCAGGCTGGTTTGGCTGCTGGCTGGTAAGTCTGGCCACAGCCTGCTTTTTGCACCCCAGCCCCTCTCTGCCCCAGTCCTCTTCCCCCCACTCAACATACCCAAACCTTCTGTCCCCTTCTTGCAGCCGTACCCCCTCCTAGATCTGTTACCCCAGTCGCCTGCCCCAGATCACAGTCCCCTTCTACATTAGGTCACATTCCAAAAGCCTGCATTCTAGTCCCCTGCCCTACTTCACAACTGCTTCCTTCACCCAAACTTCCTCCCAGACTCCAGTCTCCCTCCTGCACCCCAGTCCCTTACCACAAGCTCCCCTCTACACCCAGCCACCATCCCAGACCCTGGATCTCCTCCATTAATATCA